GAACACATGCTTTTACTACATAATGACTGCCTGTATATCTCATTTCAATAATGAAAAAAGAACTAACAATAAAATATTTTGTTTCCTCTAGGGTAACACCATCTATGTAAAAGGTTTTGGACTAACAGAAAAAATCCTTCAGGAATCATTTACTAAATATGGTGAGTTCATAGATGGACCATACGGAAAGGGTATGCCTTTTTATGTTAATATGGCTGGAAAGCATCTGCCAGCTCTGAAAAGTGTATCAAAGTTGATCCTTTCTGAAAAAGCGTCATGTTTAGGAGAACCAAAGTTTATTTCTGTTACTTTAAAATAAGCATTCAAAGTTTGATTTTGTTAGCATTTCATTCGTGTATTGCAGGTAAAGTGCAAAAAGTCAACTTTGAAAAGGACAAGAGGTAAATTAATTTATTTCAATAGTAATTAACTCACAAAGGTAATAGTGGTTTTACACTGGCTTAACTACCAATCTCAAAATAAAAATTCTCATTGACTACATTAGATTGTTACTATTTATTGCAAGGTGTGAGAATTTGGCAGTGCGTCAAAAAGACTATGTCTTCTTGCTTAGAAATGTTTTTATTTTATTCACCTTTGTTCCTGAAAAGGTAAATGTACTAATTTGTGGGGAGAAACTGATAGTTGATCACTGTTTTTTTTCCTTAGCCAAGGCTTTGTAACGTTTGATTCCTGTGAAGCAGCGGAAAAAGCAATTGATGAGGTAAATGGAACATAAATTGCAATTGCACTTCATACACTGGTACTTTCTAGTACCTGCCTGAAATGAAACTAGAAGATGTAGTGCATTTAAAAAGAGAATTATAAAGCTACCTAGAGTAATTTTTAATAAAGAAAATATTCAACGAGCAAACGAGACAAAAGATTTAAATTGTTTTTTTTCCATTGACCAGAAAGACCCATTCACATAATGTGAGTAAAGTCTGCATACAAGCCAAGTGGCCCATCAGGCTGGCGCTTATTTCATATTCCTGTAGCATGAAGCAACTAGGATTATTTCTACTCTCTCCCTGGATGGGATGCTAGTCCATCGCATGGTTACCCCACGTAATACCCATTTATACAGCAGGGTGGAGAGAGACACTGCGAGAGTAAAGTGTTTAGCTAAAGACTAGGTCATCGGGATAAGTTTTGCTCTGTCGGAAGGGGCGGGGGAGGGGGGTGGAGGAATAAGCACAGTTACATATAGAAGTGTTGATTTATGTGCTTCTGTGTCACTGTCAGATGAACGGCATGCTGGTTCTTGGTGTGCATATCAAAGTGGCTCTTTCAAGAAGACAACCAAACATGGGAGATACACAAGGGCATCATCGAAGACCCGGATTAGGAAGTAGAGGTAAGGAGTTATTTCACATTGACACAATTAAAAACTAAAATTACATAAAATCAGTCTGTCGGATGATCTGACATTTTGGTCATTTCACGTTGTTGATATGCACTGGACCAGGGACGACAAAGAACTGCATTACCCGTTGAGCGAAATCTTCGTTGCCTTTGTCACTGTTTGGCTAGTTTTACAACTAGGTTTGATTGAATGCTGTTGGGCGGTATAAAAACTGAAAAAGACAAGTTTATCTGACTTAAAAAAAGGTATAAAAATACTGAATTTGCCCAGGGAGTGAATTAACGACTTCAGATAACCGACAAGATCCCTAGGGCTTAGTTGCCTTTTTTTGCATCCCTCAGAGACATAACAAGTCTTAAGAAGACTTTTTACCATAGATTATATTTATTACAAGTTACAGTTATTTTCTTCAGACCTGTATTCAACTGTTGAGGCTTCCTGCTTTGTAATGTGAGGAGTGTAAAGTGTTATATTTAAGCCATAGAGGATGTTATTTTGTGTTCTGCAGATTCTAGAGGGCACAGTGCAGGCCTTCAGTCACAGGAGGCAAGGGAAATTGTTTCGTATGATGACCTGTAGATTACGACACGCCGTGAAGAAAATTCATCGGACAAAGACGAGATTTGTTACAGAGCTAACACAATTTGCCGAAGAGGTTCCTTCAATGTATACAGATTAATGTTTTTTTGTCAATTATTATTTGTTTGGTAGATTGTATAAGAAACATAATGTATCAAGTGCAAAGAGCTGGCTATAAGGCTACCACTCTTCCTGAAATGTAAACTACAGTTAGACATGTGTATAAAGTCAGCAGAAGTTAATTTGGAATTGGAAATTATATAAAGAGTTTATCAGAGTAGAAACCGTATGTGGCTGCTTCAAGAGACCCGTTCAAACTTAGTGCCGAGTACGTGTATGTATAAGACTAATAAATATTCCAGTCTGAAATCAGTTTCATTGCTTTGGTAAAAAGCAAGCTATCTTTCCGTCTCTCTCTCTCGTGTCTTGTTTCTCATGTCATCTTTGTCGTCTCTCGTTGTTGACTTACCTTTCGTTTCTTGCTTCTCACTGGTGATTCGTGATTGCCCAATAATTCGTGTAACTCCAGTCTTTCGCTTTCGAGTCTTAAGCTGTATAACATGTATGTGTGGTAGTAAATTATATATTTAATAAACATTTAATAGTAATAATAATAATAATGATGATGATAATAACATTTACAATGCGCAAATTTTATAAAATGTTCAAATGCGCATGACAAGATTAAAAACGGAATAAAAAGGCTAAAAAGCTAAAATTACAATTAAAAGTAAACTTACAGTGATTTTAGAAAGCTTAAATTACAGTTAAAAGTAACTTTACAATAATTGAAACAACTATGATAAAAATTCATGACGGAAAAGGTGAGTTTTTAGCTTGGTTTTAAAAATACTAACGGTGCTGGCGCTTCTTATGTCAAATGGTATCGCATTCCAAAGTTTCGGTGCAGCACAGGTAAAAGAACGGTCACCTAGTGTAGCTTTTGATTTAAAACGCGGATAACTAAGTAAAAGTTTATCGCTAGGATTCCTTTAGATTATATTTGGATGGGAGCCTAAGAGAAATAAGAGACGATAAATAAGTAGACGCTAAAAAATTAAGAATCTTAAAAGTWATTAAAAGTATTTTYAACTCGATTCTGTATCTAATCGGTAACCAGTGTAATTCATAAATAAGAGGCGTTACATGGCAAAATTTCTGTTCTTTAAAAATCAGTCTGGCGCAGGCATTCTGTACTCGTTGCAGTTTATTTAACAAGCAATCGGGTAATCCACATAAAAGACCATTGCAGTAGTCAAGGCGACTTGTCATGAATTCGTGGACAAGAGTCTCAGTTGACTGCTGTGAAATATACTTTCTGATCCGACGAATATTATAGATATGGTAATAAGAAGAAGCACAGACTTTTGTGATATGTGTTACCATGGACAGCATAGAATCAAACCAAGAACCAACATTTCTCGCGATTGGCACGGGATGAATATCTGAGTCACCCACTCGAATACTGATATTCTCTAGCTTTTCCATGGCCAGCTGTTGTGATGTACTAATAATGAGGAATTCAGTCTTGTCGTCGTTTAATTTAAGATCATTATTCAACATCCAAAACCGAATGTCTCTGATGCAGTCTTCCATGTTCCTCACCACAGCAAGTTGCTCAGCTCTGTCGTTCGGAGTGAATGAGATGTAAACTTGTGAATCATCAACGAATCTTACGAGGTGTTACTACGATTTCCATGTCCCTTACTAACCATGGTAAGGTGAGATCGGCTGGTAAAGGGTTCAGCGACTGGGTACTATAAAAAGTATAAAATGTCTTGGTTTGTTACGGTTTGTTAAAGTATAAAATGTAGGCTCAACTTTCCCAGTATTTACATGTTCATAACGATTTGTAAAATTTTAAGCTTTGTATCTCGGGGAACGAAATTAAGCATGCTTTCGTCCACTTCTGCCGGGTGACTTGTTCATTTAGCCGTTTGGCGCCCAGCAACAAATGCTTAGGAGGTGTTCTTACTGGTAACAACCCAGGTAGGGTGAGATCAAAATGAGATGTTCTGAGAACCTTGTCGAACAGAGCTGAAAGCATAGTAAGTTACTCAGAAGACAGAGAAGGAGAGACAGCACGTTAGAAAAGCGTAAAAATCAACTCAAGCATTATGGTTGGGCAGCTATATCTCTTGTTACATTTGTTTTACCGAGCTGAACGTTTCCCTGATTATAAAACTCGACGTCCTACCTTGCCTTAACTCCTTAACATATTATTTTGACCACGTGACACGTCACGTGATCATTTTGTTAAAATTTGTAAATCGGCGAATTGGTGGCGAATTTTCATTCTATTGATCAATAAATGAGCGTTTGCGATGCAAATTTAAATTATCTACCTTGCTACGTTTGGGATGATCTCCCTTGATTTCGTTTATAGAAGATATAAATGATCAAAAGTCGAACTTTGTTGAAAAAAGGACCTTTCACCCTATAAAATTTTTCTTTGAAAAGAGGGACGGTCATTCCAAACGTGAGAGAATGGCAATCATTGACCTGCCTGCATCAGGAGCCATAATCGGGGACGGAGACTGTAAGCGCGCCCCATTTCTAGTATTGGGGCTGTACCCATGATATGGGACAATTTTTCTATTTTTAGAACTAATTGCGCGATCCCTTGTGGCAAACGCGCCTACATGCTGCGAGGATTTTTGCGGATGTTGCGCGGGGAAAAGGRGTCCGAAATTCCCGAAATGTTTGATACTTTTGGCCCACAACTAAATACGTTCATGTCTGCTGGAATTTTAATTCAGTATTTTCGTCGTAAGCTGCTCCAGTTTGAGTGAAGTAAGACAGTGTTGAATTTAGTTATGTGCCGCTTTATATCACTGACCGAGTTGTGTTCCGCTTCTTCTTTTACAAGAGCTCTACATTACTCCACTCTAAGTTTCAAATATGTTGAAGATTAACAGCTTTTCCAAAACAGAGCAAAAAACTATTTGGATATATTTGGATATAGCAGCGTTTCAGGACTTTAAAGTTTCCTTCCTCTTGCCACACGCTTGGATTTCGCCAAAGTCTATCTAGACCGAAAAGTGAAAAAAAAAATTGTAAGTTCGAGTTTAAACGCGTTTTTGCAGGATGTTATTACTAAAAACCACCACCAATTCCTCAAGTAATGGCAATTTTCCGCTAAACTCACGTGACATGTCACGTGACCTGTCAGAAGTGCCAATTCTACTTTAAAATGTCCACTGAGGACGTAAAAACCTAATGTGTGCTAAATCTGGTTCAACTGGCATTTATACCTTCAGAAATATAACTAATAAATTATTTTCACCAGTAAAAGCCTTTGACCCAGACCTTAAACTACAGTAGAACCCCGTTAATACGAACACCTTCGGGCCATAGAAAATTGGTCGCATTAACGGGGTGGTCTTATTAAAGGGCTCTTTAAATAAGGAAATGACTGACCGAGCT